CAAAGAATTATTATCACATTATTGTATAAACATTATTATTATTATTAATTATTGTATCGGTTTTTCTAAATATGTTTTTGTGTTTTTATTATAATTATTATTATTATAATTACTGAATCTCTTTTTTTATGGGAGAATTAATTGATTGATTGATTGATACTTTTGTGTGTAATGAAAAAAAAAACAAAATGAATACTCTCTTTATTTTCAATGGTTGAATAAAATGACATTTTTTATTTGATTTTTCAAATTAAATCGCGGTTTTATTTGTTATTAATATTCCAGATAGAAATGTCTCCGCAATTAATTATATGTATTTTGCAATTTAAAAGTTTTATTATTAATTTTATTGATTTTATTCCTAAGTTTTTGGCATTTTTAAGCGATTCTAGTGATGGTCTGTGTCTTAGTGTCCAATAGACAGATATCGCCGGTCCTGAAGGCACGACACGCGCCCTCCACTGCTATCAGACTCGGGATCCCGTATTCGCGGGCAATGACTGCCCCGTGAGATATCGTTCCACCGATTTCTGTGATTATACCCGNCCTCCACTGCTATCAGACTCGGGATCCCGTATTCGCGGGCAATGACTGCCCCGTGAGATATCGTTCCACCGATTTCTGTGATTATACCCGAAAGTAATGGGAAGTATGGACTCCAACCGATGTCCGTCGAGTACGTGATCAGAATATCTCCCGGCTATCAACACACATCATACTTATTGTAACACATTTAATAATTAATATTAATTATAATAATGATTACTTGAATATTATCGGCGTCACTAATATTCTCTGCCACACAGACTCTTGCCTTAACTGTTCCCAGACTTACAGGAGTTCCGGACATTCTAAGGGATCCCTCAGTAGATATCGGAATATCGATCTTCTCTTCAAACTATAACACAAATACAGAAAATATGTTTAAAACAACTATTTCTTAACAAATTATCATATAATCAATTAATTAACAAACATTTTTGGGCATCATTTCTGGCCCTTTGATGATCTCTTCAAACTTGTATTTATCCATCTTTGGGTACAATCGCCTTCTTTGGCGTACTTTCGCCAAAATGAGTGCATCTCTGTCTCCATTGCAGAGCCGCTCGATCTCATCGATGGTCAGGAAGAAGAACGAGTCCACAGACGGTATGAGTCCCTCCGCGACCATCGTTTCGGCCAAATATGTGAACCCTTTGCGGATCCGATGATTAAACCAAACCATAAACCCTTTGGACACCTCTCGATAGCCGACACCCTTTCGACTCCAGGGGAGGAATACTTTACGGATCAGATACCGCCTCCAGAACGACAACGGAGTCCGCAATTCGTTGACCACTTCATCGACCGATTTGACTACTTTTGGCTTCAATAGGTTTTCACTGCCCGAAAGGATTNTCTCGATAGCCGACACCCTTTCGACTCCAGGGGAGGAATACTTTACGGATCAGATACCGCCTCCAGAACGACAACGGAGTCCGCAATTCGTTGACCACTTCATCGACCGATTTGACTACTTTTGGCTTCAATAGGTTTTCACTGCCCGAAAGGATTCCCTGTTATATAAAACAATAATTTATTAGACAATTGACCGCGAATTGCATCAAAACCAATGCATACCTTCAAGTTCTTCACGCATGGAATGGGATTGTCTTCCCAGGGCTTACAGTAGGGATCCATCTCTTTATAGCCTCTGTGGCCGTGATCTTTGAGAAACTGACCGAACAGTCGCGACGCCTCACCGGTTCCGCGCCGGAGCTCTTCGAGCGCCTCCTCATCGCTGAGACGGACGAATCGTTGCCTGTCTTCGATGGCTACAGCGATATCACGCAAACGGTTGGGCACTTCGGCGCTGACCACTTCGTCGCACGAAGAGATGAGTAAATTCATGTCCGACTCCAGGTTTGGGTTGTTTTCTGAACAGTGATTACAAAACAATTGCCATTCAATTCAATGGTCGCAGAGTTCTATGCGATGGAAGTGGTTTGTGGTGACAGTTGTATACATACGTTGTGCGGTCTCGAGAAGGTATCTTATGATACCATTCTTAATGGTGGAGCCCTGAGTGGCCCAACTGTGGTGGAAGAACATGACATCAGTCATCTCGTACTCCTTCATGAGGCCGTCGAAGACCCGTTTGGCGCCTTCTCGAGAAGGTATCTTATGATACCATTCTTAATGGTGGAGCCCTGAGTGGCCCAACTGTGGTGGAAGAACATGACATCAGTCATCTCGTACTCCTTCATGAGGCCGTCGAAGACCCGTTTGGCGCCCGAATACTGTCTCAACTTCTGGACCATATCGTAGTGACCCATATATTTGTCGATATCGGCGAACATCTTCGCCCGACCGAAGAAGAATATGTTTGCGTAGTATTTGATATTCTCGATGAGTGATGGCCTGTGAAGGCGATGCCGTTTCTCCTGAAACATATCCAAAGTATCCCTATCTGTGATGTGATGCCCGAAGAAGGCCAGCACTGAATACTCGGACAGTTTGGACTCCGGGTAGTCGTAGAACCGGTCGAACACGTACTGTAAGTATTGGTGAATATTGTAATTACTATTTGAAACTAAATGAATTATCGTTTAAATATTTATCTTTTTATAAATACATTTGTCAGATTGAAAAATAGCTGATTATAACAGACACCCATCATATCGACGTACGGGTTGTAGTCATCCATTGTGGCGCTCGTATCCGAGGCCAGCACTTCCCGCTGTAAGACAATAGTTACCGCTATTAGTTTAGTGACAATTATATAATGATATTTTTTTTTTAAAATACATGATTACTTACAAATAGAGAAGATTTATTGGCCCAAAGAAAAGTGAACACAAGGCATGTGGATGCACCAGGGTAGTTCTCGCCCCAATGAGCTCGAGAGTATATCTCAAACTCAGATGGATGTGCTGTGTCCAATTCATGCATAATCTCGTAATCGGTGTAAGAATTGTCTAAATTAGTTACGGGTCTCGACTGAAGCATAAATATTTGGCCCCCTTTTAGACCCCATTCTATATCTCTTGCGTCTCCATAATATGATTGAATCTATAATTTAAAATTGTTTAAAATAAAAATTTAATTAAAAATTATAATAATTTTTCATTAGTTTATTATTAATTCACTTTTAAGCCCAAATCTGCCAAACGATATAAGTCTTCATCGCTAACACAACAGCTATTCGTATCCTCAATGTCTTCCTCAAGAGTGCCTCCATTTTCTAATAATCTGATTAAAGTCTTCTTCTGTCCGATGACTTTGGATTCAATTCCCTTAATATGTCTTCGTTTGGACAAAGAGTTGGACTCAATATTAACCGACATTTTGATTGTGTCGGGTTCTGAAGACGCGGAGACCACAGACTGTAGTAGATTAATGGTTAGGTTATATACAGTATAAGACATGTATTGTTCACTCACTTCTCCCAATCCATAATTGCCTGTAATCTCAATAACCCTCTCATCGCCGGTAATCGGATCACAAGTGAACATAACTCCCGCCGATTCGCAGCCAATCATCTCTTGGATGACAACAGCCATCNACTCCCGCCGATTCGCAGCCAATCATCTCTTGGATGACAACAGCCATCGGGGTATTAATGGTCTGTCCGTAACCTCTCTTATACTCGTATGCGATGTGAGAGAACTGTGAAGACCAGCACTTCATCACAGCCTCACAGATGTTATCCAAACCTTATATAATTAAATATAAATACAATTATAAATACCAATCATTAAAATATTTTATTAATACCTCTGACACCGAGAAAAGTAGTCATTTGTCCGGCGGCTGACATCTCTTCCGAGTCTTCTGAAGCGCCCGAAGATCTGACGGCAAATAAATTGTTTTCAAAATCATTGAAATTTGCATTCAATTTGCCTTTGATTTCTTGTCTAATAATTTGTGGTAAACTGTGATTAGATATCAGATCTACTAATTGAGAGCATTTAGTTTTAAGCTCTTGTGTTGTCAATTGTGTCGAGTCTTCCAAGTCTTGGATGCCTTTCATCACATCCTTGTGTTCCCGAAGAAGTCTTTGATAAGCATTTGTGGTCACAATAACACCATTCGGAACATTGAATGTGTTTTCGTACTTCTCTTTAACCAAATCTTCACTCAAACTCTTGAGAACCGCTAAAGAACTTCCTTTACCTCCACTTAAGTCAACGCTAGCATTTGTGGTCACAATAACACCATTCGGAACATTGAATGTGTTTTCGTACTTCTCTTTAACCAAATCTTCACTCAAACTCTTGAGAACCGCTAAAGAACTTCCTTTACCTCCACTTAAGTCAACGAGTTTTGCATATTTCTCGTTAAACGCCAAAACATGCGATGAGTCCTCTGATACTTCTTGTAATTCAATATTACCACCAAATTCTGTGTCATTATCTTCTGATACAAAACACATTCCTATAAATAGACAAAATAATTAATACTAATAATTAACTGAAAAAAACGATTGATTCCTACCTTCGGCGCCATTTATCATCAAATTCTGTGCCAAACCTTTATTTGGTTTAATTTCAAACTTAAACTCTTTTCCATTGAATTTAGCGACAAATTTCATGTTTTTATTATTTAATAAGTTTTCAAAGTCTGTCTCCGATAACGAAATATCGGATAATTTGTGAAATCTTCCCAATTCTTCAAAGAGAAAGCCGTAACGATATGTTTGGCTATTATTAATGTTCACAAACCCTATTTGAAAACCAATTCCTGTATTTAGAAATCAATATAAAATTATTTTTAATTACAAAATTCACTAATTATTCATATTATAAATACAAACCAATCTTATTATAGCCACTAATTCTGACGATACGTCGCTTCAATGGTGTACTCATTGGAGACATTAAATACTTTTTACTGATAGCGCCCCAGAAGTAGAGCCGTCTCTCCTCATCAAACTCTTCCCGAAACGTGCCTTTCATTTGACCGAATTGTTCAAATCGATTCTCGAATCGATTTTCGGTTTCCTTTATATCTGAAGATAGTGTCAACTCTTTGGCCATAAATGTGTCGTTGAAGTCGTGGCTGAAGTCATAGACCCGGGAGAGAACGTACCATAAGAACCGGAACCTAACGAATACCAGTTTGTCATTGTTTTTGGTCAGATATCCCCGGAATTTGATTCGCTTCCTCTTGAATGGTACCGATATCTCTAAGCCGAGTCCACACACTCTGTATTCATTGCTCCGGTACTCGACCTCCGAGTCCTCCTCTAATGTATAGCTATTACTGTTGTTGTCATCAAATCTCAAACTAATGGTTGCATTAATCTTATCGTTCACTCCTTTTGGTCTCCATTTGATTGCAATATAAATGCTTTGTTTCGATGAATTCACGCCATATATCAACAAATCCTCGGCTTTTGTCTATAATAAAAATATACAAAACATAAATAAATTCCACAATTTTTCAAACTTTAATGATCATGAAAAATAACAGTTACAAGTATTAAAAAGTTCATATTTACAAGATATATTTGCAAAATGTTTATAATAAAACATTTTATGTATTTAGTATAAACATCACGTATTAAATTTTGAAACTTAAAAACTAAAAAACAACACAAACCCTAATGACAACATACCTGTGCAGGTAAATCATAATCCCACTCGTGTTTAAATGGCAACACACCCGCGTCCTGTGCCCTATCGCTTAGGGCATTGTGTGTATGAATTCTGTGATTCTTTCTCGCCTTCCTTTGTGACCACAAAGTGGACAATACTTTCAGATACTTAAACCATCGGCCGTTGATTTGGCCATTAATTTCGACCACTTTATTGAAATATACAATAAATGGTACGGATATTAACGCTCCCATAATTGTGAACCGCTTTTTTCACAACACATAACAACTAAAACATTTGTGGGTATGTCTTATATAATCAATTAATTTCTTTCCCCCAATAGCTCTCCCACTCTATAAAATAGTGTTACTTTACTTTTTGCATAATGATAAAATTTTTATCCTTGAAATGCCATTAAATACCAATCAATTTATTATAAAATATTATTCATTAATGGCATATCTAATCACTTCTGAGGCACATTTGGTTTCAATGTATACTTACAATCGTATACTTCAGTTGTCTATGAGTTTAAGTTAGATTAATAAAAATTGACATTTAATTAAGCACATGATAACAAAACTAAAATAACTAACTTGATTCACATTTACCGCAAATAATTATAACGTAAACATGTTTTGTTTCGTTAAATAAAATTATATAACATTTAAAATTTATGACTTGTGAGAACACATGTCCTTATAGTCAATAAACTAACTATGGTTATAGTGGAAATACAGCGCGTGTTTGCTACATACTGTATAATTATGTTGAATTTATATTAATACAGCTGCGTGAAATAATGTCCTGGGCAATTGCAAATAAAACACCTGCACTTTGTGTGGGCATAAAATATCAGTGGCGCACTTTGATCATGCTAATATCTTAATCTGACCCCGCACTTATAATTAAATGATTATTAGTACCATTATTTATTATACAAATTGATATAAACAAGTTAATTTTTACGTTTTAGTTATTTAGCAGTTGTTGGCAACAAATATTTAATCAAAAAATGTGACCTTTTATCATACAATTGCATTCAAGTAGGGATTTATAGGGGGGTTGGGATAGAAATTTAAGATGTGTACCCTGATTACATTTAAATGATGGCGCAATGTACATTTGCACTCGGAATAAATTTTCTAATGTAACATGTTTATTATATAATATATAATTATTATATAATTAATAATTAATTATAATTAATTAAAAAGATCATTTTAAAATCATTTCATAACTTCTTATGACTACTTTGGTTAGATTGTGTTAAGTATATCAAAGTATTTTTTAAAATGTTGTTTTTATTTATAAAATGTTGATTAATACATGAATAATATAAATAGAATTTAGTTTTTTAAAATGTTAATGGTAATTAAAACATATAAATATTTCTATTAAACAATTACTACAAATAAATATAAAATTTCCGGTTTAAATAATATAAATTTTAAAACAATAGTATAATCAATTTATTCGACTTTAGTGATGGTCTGTGTCTTAGTGTCCAATAGACAGATATCGCCGGTCCTGAAGGCACGACACGCGCCCTCCACTGCTATCAGACTCGGGATCCCGTATTCGCGGGCAATGACTGCCCCGTGAGATATCGTTCCACCGATTTCTGTGANCTCGGGATCCCGTATTCGCGGGCAATGACTGCCCCGTGAGATATCGTTCCACCGATTTCTGTGATTATACCCGAAAGTAATGGGAAGTATGGACTCCAACCGATGTCCGTCGAGTACGTGATCAGAATATCGCCCGGCTATCAACACAGAAACACATGTTATAATATATTTATTAAAGTTAATTATATTTAATAATTACTTGAATATTGTCAGCTTCTGTAATGTCTTCAGACACACAAACCCTCGCTTTTACGGATCCATTACTAACTGGTGTTCCCGTCATTTGAACCATACCTGAGGTCAAAACTGGAGGTATAATCCGGTCCTCAAACTATTACAGCAAAAAATTGAAATTAAAAAATATTACAATAATTATATGATAAATGCATACATTTCTGGGTTTCATTTCGGGTCCTTTAATAAACTCTTCGAACTTGTATTTATCCATTTTTGGATAAAGTCTTCGCCGTTGTCTTACTCTCGAGAATATCAATGGATCTCTTTGTCCATTACATAGCTTTTCCACTTCAGTCATCGTGAGGTAAAAAAATGTGTCCACAGTTGGGATCAATCCTTCGCTAACCATTTGTTGGGACAAATACCAGAAGGCGTCCCGAAATTGATTGTTCATCCAAATCATGAAATACTTGGAGAGCTCTCGATATCCAATCCCTCTTCGAGTCCACGGAAGGAAAAACTTTTTCAGCAGTAGTTTCTTGAATGGAGTCAATGGTGTCTTCAGTTCATCGATCACTTCTTCGACAGATTTTTCCATTTTAATTTCAAATTGTGATTCATTTCCCGATAATATTGTCTATAATTATACCATAAATTAATTTCAGTCAAAACAATTCAATTAATATAAATATATTTACTTTAATAGTCTTAACACAAGGCATTGGATTGCCTTTCCATGGCTTATGCATAGGATCTGATTCTCGATACCCTCTGTGTCCGTGTCTATCGAGAAATTGTCTGAATTTAATGGATGTCTCATTGCTTCCCGTTTGCAGCACTTGAAGCGCTTCCTCAGCACTCAATTGTCGGAACCATTGCTTGTCTTTAATAGACTTTGCGATTTCACGCAAACTGTTGGGCACTTCAGCGCTGATCACATCACTACACGACGAGATCAATAAATTAAAATCCGAGTCCAAATTTGGGTTATCCTCTATAATAAGTATAAATCAATTAAAATTGTTATATTGCATAATATGAGTGATAGTATGTATGATTCAATCAATACTAACTCATTGAGCTTTCGAGCATAGCTTTCAAAATTGCATTTTTAATTGACGACCCGAAAGAGACGGGTCCGTGATTTTTCATAGCCGTCTCCCATATCATAAAACACTCGGTAAAAATATTGTCCATTATGTCTTTACTATTAGAGTATGGTTTCAATTTGTCGACCAAATTGTATTTCTTAATATCCATAAATTCTTCCTTAGTTTTGATCAGATTCTTGGGTCCAAACAAAAGCCCTTTTATGATAAACGATGGAAAACTCATTTTGCCCAACAATGACATGCTTTTGGCCTCCAATCGTTTCTTTCGCCAATGACTCAACACATCCGTGTCGTCGATGTGGTGCCCGAAGAAGGCCAACACCATTGTCTGCGCCTGTTTTGACTCCGGGTAGTTGTTGAACATACCCATCATTCCCTGTGATTAATGTAACAATAATTGTTATTTATTATTATTATTAATTATTAATGAATTTTTGCATTAAATATGATTTTGTAGTGAAAACCTACACTGGTCAAATTGAACATTATTTGATTGTATTCCACTCCCATTATATCGAAATATGGATTGTAATCTTCCTCTATTGATATACCACTACTCAACTCTTTTCTCTGCATTTAGAAACAAATATTGAATTTAAAATTATATACAATTTATATATTTTTTGTAAAATTTTGTATAGATTAATCTAATATATAATTAGTATGCGTACAAAGAAGTTGCTTTTATTGGCCCAAATCCATTGTATGCATGTCCATGATGATGCACCAGGATAGTTCTCACCCCAATGAGCTCGAGAGTATATCTCAAACTCAGTAGGATGTGCTGTATCTAATTCATGCATAATCTCGTAATCGGTGTAAGAATTGTCTAAATTAGTTACGGGTCTCGACTGAAGCATAAATATTTGGCCCCCTTTTAGACCCCATTCTATATCTCTTGCG